ATTCGAAGGAAGACAAGACATTACAAATAACATTTACACTGACGAAGGTGACTAAGAATCCATCTTATCAGACAACGAAAACTGTGAAAAAGAGACAGTGTGTGTTCTCCTTGGGGCATCTAATGGTAATAGGCTCGGACATATCGACGATTCATTAGTAAACTCTTCAATATCTGAAGTATCCCTTGACAAAATTGAGCAAATCATTGATCTAGCCTTTCAAAAAACTGAAACAAAGATATTGAAAAGGTTGTTCTTTGTCTAGGCACAAATGAGATCACTAGAAACAAAGGCAACTGTGATCAAATAAACCTTCTTGTAACAAGCGCTGTCAATCGTGTGATGTCTAGCTTTCCAGAGGCACAAATAGGCCTTTACGATATAAAACCGCGTAAAGGCAACGGTGCTCAATTTCAGAAAATAAACGAAACAACTAAAAATGTAAATAATTTCATGAAACAAATTTGTGTTCGAGAATAATCTGTAGAATTTGTTGATATAAACGATCAATTGTATAAACATGGAGCTGTAGTCAGAGCCTTGTTTAATAAAAATGACAGCAGCGGGGTCCGCGTCAGCACAGAGGGCGCACAAAGAATAAAAAGTAAACTTTCTACATAGCCCCAAAATGAACTTAACCGTAACACATACTCCGGTAGATCGCAAACGCAACAGGAGTGACAAAACGACTACTCCAACATCTGCAGACCGAATATCCAAAGTATCTAGAACAGAAATCAGCGTAGATTATGAATAAACCCGTGTAAATAAACATTATTTAATTTGATTTGATTCTACTGTTGAAAAAAAATTATTAAAAAAGACAAATATCACTGTAAATATCATGTCCATTTTTTTTAACATATTAGTCGTATGTATATTTTATTTATGAGTATTTCATTTATATGCTTACATGTATTTATCGCCAAAAGTTCAAAAATTGCAAAGATGTACCTAATTGTGATGTTATATATGGGGAACAAGTATATGTATCGGTTTATTAGACCTATTACGGTTTTAAAACGACACACAATATTTAAAGTTCTACCTTATTTGTTTACACACAGGTATACACATGATCGATCATTGAAGTGTAATTTTCTTAATAGATATAACCAGGTTCAAAGCATTTAAGTGAAACATTTAAATGATGAAAGAAAAAAAAACCTATACGAACTAAATATGACTTTGTCAATTGCTTCAATAATGTAAATGGTTTACAAAACAATAGAAAACGGGATTTGATTTTTAATTGGTTGGTTTCAAAAAAGTTTGATATCATTTGTATACAAGAAACACACTGTACGAAATCTGATATTGACAATTGGGGTAATAACTGGAAAAAGTTTACAAAAGTTACAAAAAAAAATCTCCGAAAATGTAACTTTTATTAATCACAATGATAATGAAAGATGTCAAATGTGTGACTTAAAAAGAGATAACGTTGTATATCATATTGTTGATGTAAACAAGTCTAAATTGAAAACAACGTTCAAACCTATGATTTCGTTGGATAAAAACCGCAATTTTTATACGTGTGCATGCAAAACAAATTTCTTGGTAAAGAGGTCTAAATACAACACAAACAACATTTTCCAAAAAGACCAAAAAAGTGACAAAGTATATTTTAACAAAACGCATTTGACTAGCAGGTCGAACAACGGATGTTCTTAAACCCTGCTGATTGCTATTGGCGATTGCAAAATAAAATGATCACCAGATGTAACAAAATGGATCTTAAATATTAATTAAATATCAAACAGAAAACAATAAACTTGCGGAAAAGATGGTTAAATATTGTTAATGTATATACACCAAATAACGGTTCCGAAAGAAAGACTTTTTACGAAAATTTGCATAATTTAAGTAAAAACGTTGAACACTACACCGTATTATTAGGAAACTTTTATTGTATTTTATAAAAAAAACTAGACAGGTTACCATCACATCAAAATAATGACGTTGATACAACAGAATTAAAAAATCTTTTGTTGAGATATGAATTAGATGATGTATGGAGATCTCGCTTTCCAGATACCAAACGTTATACGTTTCAGAGAGGAAACTCGAAGTCTCGTATTGATTTTATTTTCTGCAGCAAATCTTTGAATAGTAAAATATTTAACACTCGTATATCCCTTTTCCCGTTTAGTAATCACGAAAGATATAATAGACTATATAGACAACGAAGACGAAGATCGAATAATAATATGTCTTGACCAACAAAAAGCCTGTGATAGGGTTTAATGGGATTGGGTGGATTTTGTATTAGAAAAGTTGAATTTTAGGGAATAAATTAGACAATGGATCAAAATGTTACTTTATGATGCTATAACTTGCATAAAAACGAATGGACATGTTTCAAAATATTGTTCGATACCTCGTTCGAGCATACAGGGCTGTCCAATAGCACCCCTAATATACATTCTGCAAGCAGAACCAATGGCATGTGCAATACGAGGTAACAAGGAAATCGAAGGGATTCAGATACCTGGTGAAGGGGGTAAAAGTATAGAAACTAAATTATGCATGTTTGCTGATGACACTCAACTATTTAATAAAAATGAGAAATCAGTAGAACAATCTATTGATGTTCTAACACTATATGAAAAAGCTTCGGGATCTAAAATAAATATCGATAAAACAAAAGGTTTACTTATAGGATCTCTTAAAAGGAAAAAAGCTAAAATTTAACAAAGTTAAATGGATTACAGGTAATGTAAAAACCCTTGGAGTAAATCATGGTTATGAAATTGATAATGATACTATATGGCAAAGCATTATAGAAAAGATTAAAAACTGTGTCCACGTGTGGAAAAGTAGGAAACTTTCATTTAGTTGTAAAACTTTAATAGTAAAACATTTCTATTGTCTATGTGCTGTTAAAAAGAAATAAACAATATTATTAAGGAATTTTATATAAGAATGGAAAGTAAACCAAATAGAAAGACAGGTTTGGTGTCTTGATATAACAAAGGGTGGAATGGGAATGATAAACATCGATTTATTCATTAGAAGCAAACAAATAAAGTCTCTTTATCGCATTCATCATGAACCGTTAGAAATCTGGAATGCGATTGGCAAGTATTGGCTTCGACAATTTGATAACAAGTATAATGATCAATATTTTTTACGTAAGTGCTCAAACGTTACCGGACTAAATCTTAAAAATATTCCTTTATTTTATCAGTTAATGGTCTATACATGGTCCTATTTTCTTTAGACTGGCGATAATCAAAAAACAAAGACAGAGGTACTTAATATGAGAATAATTGGTAATTCAAAACTTTCATTCCAAAATAAGCCATTGTTTTTTTCTTCCTTTCTTAAAAGTAACATGAAATATATCAAAGATATATGGAATGAAGAAACCAACAAATTTTACAGTTGTAGTTCTATATTTGAAAAACTTGCGGATAAGAGAAACTGTATATCCGAATTTTCACGAGTTAAAAGTTCGATCCAAAACGACTTTAAACAAGTTTTAGAAACTGGTAGAAATATTAATGAAAAAACAAACATAGAATTGAAACTCTCTGTTGAAATGTTCATATTAGATAGAAACGACAAAAAAATCAAACCTAAAGAATTAAAACTCAAATATATTCGAGACATAATTAATAAAGATATAGTTCCAAAATGTCAAAATAAATGGCAAGAAATTTTTGGGCACGATTTTAATTGGAAATTAGTATGGGATAATCTGAAAAAATCTAACATTGGCAATAAAATATAAAAATTCAAATCGAAATGCATTCACAATATTATATATACTGAAAGTAGGCTTAAAAAAATGAGATTGTCAAACGTAAAATGTCATATTTGCCAAACGGTAAATAATACTTGAAATTTGCAACATTTATTTTTTGATTGCAGTACAACCAAAATAATCATTAGTAAAATCAAAGATATTTTCATATTATAAAATGTTCGATTAAATTATAAAAATCTAGAACACTTTATGCTTTTGGGAGATAACAGTGGTCAATCGAACCAAAACGTACTTGTAAATCTCTTTTATATTTTGACAAAATGGTCCTTGTGGAAAAAAAGAAACAAAATTAGATATGATGGGACAAAAATGTCATCTACAGATATTTTGAATCTTTGGAAATCATACATGATAACCAATCTGAAATCTGTACCCAGCTATTTATCTAATAATACAACAGACCAAGAAAAAATAAACACATTAATTAATTATATATGATAATAACAAACCGCATAAGAGAGAACAGTCACGATGTTATGTGGTCTGCCTTTTATGTCTCTTTAATTGTATGTGGTAATCCATTATTTAGAGGTGCACTCGATTATGTTATAATGTTATATTATTTAGTATTACATTCTAGAAAGATGTTTTTTTCATTTATTGTCATATAAAAGAATATTTATCATTATTATTATTACACTATTTTTTCTGGTAATAAATACTGAAATTGTTGTATCTTAAAGAACAAAGTGGACTTTTTTTAGCCTCCTGCTTCCCGGGCAGTTGGTTTAATTGTAAACGGGGATCCTTAGTCTGCCTCCTTGGCAACTGGGGAAATGGTAAACAGGAAATATTTGGAATAAACAAGTACCTAAAAAAAAGTGAGAAAAACTAACAGCCTTATTTTTAACAAAACAATATACGAAAAACAAATATGACAGACGTAAACCAACGATAACCACTGAACTACAGACTTCTGACTTGGTACGGGCACATATAGAATATGACGGTGTAAAACATTTTTGAAGTCGCCAACCCTCCTTACCGTTGACAGTGGTGTAACATCTCAAGACATGAACAGACTACAAAACAATAAACGCAAAGAAATATGAGAAACAGCAATAAACGACAACCACTCAATTACAATTTAAACATCCCGAAAAACCAAAAAAGACACAAAGTACAGATCTGAGAATACTTACAGTTACTGGCAGCTGGTTAAAAGCCAATAACGACAAATAATAAATCATGTATCTACAACTGAAATGTAAGTACTGTGTTTACTTACCGCATGAAAAGAGTAGAAGTAGCATACATGTTGCTCCAACAATTGTTGATTGGTTCATTTTGAAATGATAAACTGAAAAATATTTAAAAGATCTTCAATGCAATTTGCAATAAATCTTGTGTCACAATGTGTCCTTGTAGTATGATAGTCAAAACTATTATGACGGTAAAGTTTAAATTTAACTATATATGATGGTTAATAAACCTTACAAGTATAAGAGCTTTCTGTCAAATATTCCCAGATGAGTTGCGTTCACAAGATAAAACTATAACAATAACTACAACGTTTTACTATCATTTAAAAATTGTGGGATTAAAATGTTGACATTATATGGTCAACTACACATAGTAGCAACTAATATTACCTTATATGAGATACGTTCACCAGGCATTGCAGAAATAAAAGTTTCGAGCACGATTATAGTACTCAAAATTAGAAATCATCCAAATAAAAATACTGGATATGTTGTTCGGAGCACATATTTTTTCATTGCGTACAGTTTATAACCGAGAGCCTCGGAATTGAAACATTTTTGCAACAAATGGTTAAAGTCCCATATCTCCCGTAAAAATATTCGAAAAAAGGAAGGTATAATATGGTCAACTACATATGATGGCAACCAATAATATCAAGGATGAGAACGTTTTGTTAAATGGTCTAAGAGGAGTTGCGTTTACAAGATGTATATGTCACAATACTAAATAAAATAGTCAAAGTCTGTAAAAATGAACAGATCATAATGACAATATAATATGGTCAAATACACATGACGGCAAAAATTTCTACCAAGTATGACTGTCACAGCTTTCTGTAAAACAAACACAGGGGGTAGAAGTCACACAATGGCATTACGTTAAACTTAAACTAAAATTGTAAAAGTCAGAATACTTAAATAGAGATTATCAAATCAATCATGATATAACTAGGTCACTAGATGATGTCGACAAATAATCCTACCGAGAATGAAAGATTTTTGTGAAACGGTCTTTGAATAATGATGTGTTTTTGACGGACGGGCAGACGAAGACAATTACTATAGCCACCGGGACGAACAAATGGCATAGCCATTCTCACTTTCTTTATCTTTACCTAGACAAGTTTATTATTGTGTCCCTAAATACAGGTTTTTTATTCTAAGAAATGTAGGTTCAAGATGAATTTTACTGACATCATGTAATCAACTGATAAAGAATAGGACGTTTAATTGTGTGAGTGTTTCCTTCTTTATACATAAATGTCAAAAGTAAATACTCGATATGACATAGTTTACCTTAGCAACAATGACTTGTATACGAATCCAAAACCGAACCAAATTTGTTATTAGAAATCAAAAAATCAAATTCAAAGGGCAAATATATGAAATCAATATGTAGATAACAGGCCCAACTAGTTTTCACTATCGTGTCTGCTTTTCAAGAAAAAATTTAGGAGGCCTCATCTTTAGACGGTCCAATTCCTATGGGGAGTGGAAACTATTAAATAAATGTACTTTATTTTCTCACAAGTCTGTTGCTTTAATTTGAGCATGTATAAATATATTGCGTTAATCCCCCCCCCCCCCCAAAAAAAAAAGGGATATTTTGCTTAAGGATGCAAAAGTACAAATTAAAATTACGACAGGTGTAACATCGCCGAAGTTCTGATTTCACAGAGTTGCTACCTAACGTTTTGCAGCAGATATAAGATGTATTATATTTTATTTAAAAGACGTGTTATAATGTTATTAAAGTGAATTTGAAATTAAAACCTTTGAAAACTATAATAATACATTGTATATAAAACGCAAGTTATCTAAATAAACAATTACGCAGCAATACTCACCTTCTTTGGTTTATATCTACACAAGACAGAGTAACTATACATATATCTGTGTCTGAATTTATAGTAGATGATATCCGTAACTAATCAGGATTTTCCTTCTTAGAAATTGATGTCCAGGATGAATCTATTGTTTGTTTTGCACATCGTGAGATCATATGATACAGAGCAGGATGTTGAAATTTGAGACACTGTTTCCTTCTTTATGTCTGTTTCCATTTATACATAAACGAATATGCCACACTACATATAATACATAAGTATATCATGATTAAAAAGGAATTACAAGAATTTGTTCACCTTTCTAGTGGATTAAAGCAAACAACAATTAAAAATATGTCTAGTATCCATGATTTTTTTTCAGAGAAGTTCTAATGAGTTAGTTAAAAACATTTCAGAAAGGTAATGAACGTCCAAATACATCATAGGTCCAGAAAGAGTACATCGGTTGTATACCTGTAATACTAGTATCTCGGCGAATAAAAGTTTACCCACATACCTTCTTACATGGGTTGGTAATAGATCGCAGATTCAGTAATCGACGGTAATTAGTGTAATTTGCCTGCCTCTGTGTTTTTTTTCTATGGGTGTGTGTGTTTGTGTGTTCGTTGATTGCCTACACCTAGCGTACTAATATATAAACATTTATTCTCTAGGTTTTGTATACGTCTTTTTTTTCAACAACATTCCTAATATTTGACTTCCCATTATCAAAGTCAGTTCAGTTAACATGTTAAGTTTAGTGTCCTTTACTCGTTGTTTCTGAAAGGAAAAACAACATCATTGTAGGTACTTTACCCCCTTTTTACCCTGTTTCGAAAAATGAAGATATATTTATTTTCGCTTTTAGAAAAACCAACTCAGCAGAAATTCAACTGAACTGTTCATTTAGTTGTTTAATTTCAATCACTGGAAAAGTAAAAGACAACATTGAATATTTTGTTTTTGTTTTGTCATACTTTTGATTTATACTTTTACATCATACCTCTGCTTCTTTGCATATTTATAAACAGCTACATGCATATAGAAGGATACATTTTGACACTATTAATCATAATGCATTGTTTCAGGAAACATAAAGATTTATCCTGGACATGTATTTATCTGACGGAAATCGTGGTTATATCAGGACACGATCTACTATAAATTATTAAGAAATGCTTTGTACATTAACGCAGACTTCAAGCGAGAAACAAAACGAAGGTAAGTACGACTTAATCGTTTTGTATTTCAAAAAATGCATTTTATTTATTTCTATAAAAGAGTTTTATTCTGGCAGCTTATATATTTATATCGAATAATAAAACGAAATAAAAGATGAATTTTGGTCTGTTTTGTAGGGTTCCTGTATCAACTAAACTTTAAAAAATTTACAGATCTAGACTAAGCATAGACTTTTTTCAACCCACAATGAGTTAACTGATGAATTGATATTTATTTACATAAGGTCGATTTCTATCCGACGCAGCTCATATAATGAATCTATAGTTTATCCGGAATTCTATTGATGGCAAAACTTTAGGAATTTAATATTTAATAGTAAAACATCAAAATCTTTAAAAAAAAAAAAGTTCATAATTCATGCTTTTATAATGCATGTACAATCCTTTTGATATTTTCAGGGCATCTATTTAAAATGAGACACTTATCAATTGTTGGAGGATCTTTTGTGTTACTTCTGATTTTTTCATGTGGTGAGTAAACACAATCGTTATAAAAAGTTTTTATCAGAAAATTATTCAACAGTTTTATGAAATGGGTGTTTTCATATAAATCCTGTATTTAAGTACAGTCGTATTGAGTATTGGGTTGAGGTTAGATTATTGGCTCGAGGCGTAGCCGAGGACTAGTACATCTGATCGAGACCAACTACGACTGTACAAGGACATAATACAGGATGAATATGAAAATGAACATTCAATGACACATTTATTAACCAATGACTTAAAATAACTAAGTACCAACATCTGACAGATGATAAACACGACTGTAGAAAGACTCAGATAGAATTATTATGAACTATTTAGGTTAATTATCATTTTATTGCAATGAATGTCGAATAACCCTAAAAGTTAATAATGTGCGATGAATTACACATTTATTCACCGGTAAATACCCATTTGAACATCTTGAAATTTACATGAGTTATCTCCCATTAAAATGACGTCACTGATTTATGTAAACAAAATAGCAACGGCCATGTTAGAAGTCCGTGGAGTACTGTTATAAAGAAACAAGAATTTGAAATACATCTGGTAGCGATGATAACTTTTACAAACGGCCCTTTTCAGGGCAACCAAAACTTTACAGAAATAGTCTTCATGTGTTGCAAGTATGAGGTATTTTAAGTCACAAAAAATAAATCTCTGACGATAAGTGTTTTGACAATTTCTTACTACGGTAAGACATGTACAAGTGCTTCTTTAACATGCATTTTTAATGGTTCGAAGGGCCCTTTGGTATAATTAAACAAAGGTGGTGTGTATTCGAAGCGGTGAATATCCAAGATTTTCAATCCTACAAATTTCTCTCTTAACGGACTCCGCCCTCAATGAATTTTTTGTCACGGTTGACAATTCTGGTTATTCACCTTTGTAAGGTCCATAATTGTATATATCAAAGAAAAAATAGTTTTACATTTGAAAAATAACAACAACTATAAACATCAGACGTCGTGTTGAAATCTTATATTTCGTGTAATACACACATCCAAATTTGACACCTTTTTGAACCAAAAACCGGATGTTGAAACCTGTACTAAGACTATGAAAATTCTGTATTAGACTTGTATTAACGACAAGTTCTCAAACACATGGAATTGTATTCACTGGAAAATTTATCATGTATTTTAGTCATTGGTTGATAATTAGTATCTATGAGTTTGACTATCCCTCTGGTATCTTTCGTCCCTCTTTTAATATTATCGTCATATACGCTCCTTCAAGGAAATCATGATTTATCTGAGAATTTTAAATACCAGTTTTGGTCTATGAAATAGATAAGACAAATTAGAAAAAGGAGATTGGAAATCAATCAAAGTCGAAGGAGAGACACCTAATTGTAAAGAGGCAACATTGATAAAAAACACACTGTTTAAAAAAAATCGAGTTACATGGAGCTCCAAAAAAAAAGAACACCTGAGGTGCTACAGGAAAGCCAACAGTACCTGCTGCATTTATGAA